GAGGCGTTCAACAGAATACCCTTGTTAAGGATGGGTTGTGACCGAATGGGCACAAAATTAATATATGAGAAGACATATAGAATATCAATGAATGATAATTCAGAAGGACGAGCCGACATAGATATCTATGTCGATGGTGCCAAAACAGATAGTGGTTCAGGAGCCGGCATCTACTCCGAACAACTGAACGCACAAATCAGTGTACCTCTCGGCACCCACACGTCTGTCTTACAAACAGAACTGATGGGAATAATGCTGGGAGCTAGAATCATTGCTGAACGTGAAATCGGCAACAAATCAATACGCATACTTACTGACAGCAAGTCTGCACTACTAGCCCTGGACAGCTGTATGGTTCGATCCGGGCTGGTTTGGGAGTGCAGACAAACGCTAAAGTATGCAACGCAGAGGAATAGTGTGGAACTTTGTTGGATCAAAGGACACAGTGGCAACGAAGGAAACGAGAGGGCAGATGAGATGGCGAAGCGAGCTGCGCGCATGCCCTTCTGGGGACCCGAACCGGCAATCACGCCTTCGGTCGCCCTCTCGAACGAACTCGTAAAGCAATATACCCAGAGACGCCATGAGCAGATATGGGTGAAGTTGAGCAGCTGTCGGCATAGTAGAGCTTGTATGGCGACACCAGACCGTAAGTTGACAAAATTTTATCTCTCACTTTCAAGGGACAAACTGCGTAAACTGGTAGGATTCCTTACGGGACATTACCAGTTTAACAAACATCTACATACGATAGGGGTGGTAACAGACCCAATCTGTCGTGGATGCAATGAAGAAGAGGAAACAGCTGAGCACATTCTTCGTGAATGTCCAGCCCTAGCCTCCTACAGGGAATCCATACTAGGGGACATCTGGCCTAGTATGGCAAATATCAGGGAGTTTCCACCCTCTGCATTACTCAAGTACATTCAAGCAGTTGGGTGGCTTGACGAGTAGAGGAGCGGGAAAACACCCTGATATGGACTTGGGGAAGGTACAATGGGCCCAAAGGCGAGGCCTAAGTGCCGGCTGGCTACGGTCAGCCCCCATAAATTAAGAATCCAGAATCCAGAATCCAGCATCTGTTTCTAATAAACCTGTCGCAGTGTCGCAATCCCATTGTGGCAAATCTAACACCCCATGTAGTAAATTACCAATTTTTATCCGACAAAAGTATGACTAATTTATGATGCAAGACAACAAAATACTTAAATTTTGTCCTCAGATCTACAGTGAAACTTCATGCTGTAATAAGACGTGAAAAAAAATTTAAGTAAAAAAAAAACTGGACTGGGAAATTATTACAGAATGATCTACCTGCACTAGTTTCACTGAAATTATCACAGCATGTTTCACTTTTCTTACCATACCTCTTTCGGTGGCTTCAGCGGAAAGATCGTTTTCGAAATTAAAAATGACTAAAAATTTTTTAAGAAACACAATGGGTCAATGCAGATTATCTTCACTGAATCTCTCAATTGGAAATCAAATTGCCAGAAGCTTAGATGTGTCGAATTTTGTATTAACTTGTGCCCATTGGGAAATAAGAAGAAAACAATTTTGAGATTAAAAAAAAAATGGGCATTTTTATCTACATTTCTATACTTACTTATATTATAAAGCTGAAGAGTTTGTTTGGTTGAACGCGCTAATCTCAGAAACTACTGGTTCGAATTAAAAAAATCTTCTTGTGTTGGATAGTCCATTTATCGAGGAAGATTATAGTGTACATAACATCACGTTACGATCAATAGGAGTGGAGCAGCAATGAAAAATATCGGAAAAACGGGAAAATTATTCCTCTTTTGACAGCTTCTGTTGCTTACGCTGCTTAAACGGTTAAAATTACATAAAAATCATGTATGATGGAATTATTCCCTTCTAAAACTTCTAAAGAAAAGTCTCCGACAGCATATGTCTATCTTTTAAGGTCGACTCAGTATAACCATTTTTATGGTAATGAAATTTGTTCTAAAATAATCTAATATAAAATTCTTGTGTCACAGTGTTTGTAACCAAACTCCTCCGAAACGGCTTGACCGATTTTTATGAAATTTTTTGTGTTTATTCGGTAGGTCTAGTAAACTATTTTTTATACCCCTAACTGATAAGGGTGGCCCACCAATTTTTTTTTACCAGTTTGACTTATAAGGGTGCTTTGGCTTAAGCCGCTTAAGTCATAAAAGTTTTAACAGGTGTACTTATGTCAAATGAGGTTTGTGTAATTATAGACGTCCGCATTTTTTAAAAACGTTGCTTGATTTTCGTGTGTATGTAAGAGAACCTGAAGTATATATTTAATATTTATAAGCTAGGCATGGATAATATTTTCAGTGTTTTAACAGGGGACAACAATGCATACGTTGGTCGTGCGTTTTACACAGTATGTGAATAGCTCGTTTTTGCAAATCAAAGATTCTTGTTGCGTGGGTTGAGCTTCCCCATAGTATTAATCCGTAACACATCAAACAGTGTACAGTTCGTCCAGAATTATAAGAATTTTATGGACTCCCAACGTTAATTCGTTTTACAGCCCAGGCGTCAATTCTATTGTACAGGTAAAGAGCCTGTCAGGGGAAAGCCGATGTTTTCTGTACCTGAGTTCGCCCCGCTCTTCAGCTGTACAATAAAATTGACAACAGGGCTGTAAAACGAATTAACTTTGGGAGTCCATAAAATTCTTATAATTCTAGACAAACTTTACATTAGAATGGTGTAACTGTACCACAGGAACAGTAAGTAATCAGTTTCCTTAGCTGAAAAATTGTAATATTAAGCTTATTTGTCAAAAATTCCACGTGGCATTGCCAGGTAAGTTTACAGTCTAAAATAAAGCCTAAACATTTAACGTTATTTGTCAAATTTACCTCAGAATTTAAAGCAAATTCTATAGTTTTATCTTTGTTTATTAATAGCCTGTTACTACTCAGCCACTTCTTTGATTGATCTACTTAAATTATCTTTTTCTACCGATATACGTAAGTTCATTTACGTTTGAACTGTGATTTACCATTGTCATATAGTCGGTAAGTAAGACTGTTTTATTTGGCCCACTATTTTTAGGGAGGTCCTGTATAAAGATAAGAACCGCAGAGGGCCTAGAATTGAACCTTGTGGCACTCCTATATTAATTTGTTTAAGATCAGGCATGTTTTCTTTTTCATACACCGATTGAAATCTATCGCTTAAATAACTGACGTCATAAAAATATAATTTCGCTAGAAGCAGACCATAGTCCACATGTGCCCAATGTCCAGGTTTTGTAAAATGCAATTTACTATTGAGAGTACTGCCTTAGAGGTCGAGTTATGTTTCTTAAAGCCAAATTGTTCATCTGCAAATAGTTTGTTGTTTACGAAAAAATTTAGCAGTCTATTTTTTAATACCATTTCAAAGACCTTAGACAGACATAACTCGTAGCATAGCTATAGGTCTGCAGTTGTTAATATCATCATTAAACTTCCTTATAACTATAATACTATAACTTTAGCTATTTTAAGACATTTTGGAAAAACACCTTGATCGATACATTTATTAATAAGAAAAACTAATGGTTTTGTGAAGGAGCTAATACGCTTTATTGGTTTGGCACATATATCGTATACATCAGGGCTACTTGAATCTTTAAGCGATAATATGCAATCCGCAACTTCAGATTCAGTAGCTGGTGTTAAAAAAATACTGTTATTTGTTGTAATGGAAAAACTTACTTGATACATACCTAGGTGATGCTTTTTATTTGCAGTTTGACAGTCCACACTTCACACATACCTTTATTTTAAGTTAAAGCGATTATCATAAAAGAAAAGGAAAATTGCTCGAAGGTTATTTCGACAGAAATTCCTTCGCCTCTGAAGTACAGTCAAACGAATACAGCTTCGAAAAGTGATAAAATTAACTTTGAGAATTCTATTTTCTTTTAATTAATTTTAGCCCAAAAATTAATATATGTCTGGATTGTTAAGTATGTATATGTCTCTACAGAGTTTTACCATTTAAAAAATTTTTATGATGACGTCAACAATATTTCAGGAAAGACAAGTGCGTCAACTTTAAGTGTAATACTGTTATGTATGTATATAAAGTGGCTGTCACAATAAGTTGAACGCCTCAAGCGCTCAATAAACCCCTAACCACAGCTTATAGATGCCATAAATTTGGGCCGAATGCCGCGTACCATTCAGTTAGCACTTAAATAAGAGATAAGCTGTGCCCAAACAGTGGAGAATGATAAAAATTACAATCATCCTAATCACTTCAATGAGTGGCAGGACGACCGCGCCCCAGGCAGCATTCGGTCTAATTTGACGGCCATAATATGCTATTTTATAAAATTTAACTAGCATTTACTATTCTAAAAGTCGGATGACGTCAAATCCTTGTTGGTGGTGACGATGAGACAAATTTTGGTTAGCCTTTTACCTACACGATATTCCTCATATATATAAAAAAAATTAACAACAATCGACCCGGTACTTTCGGCGATTATCTGTGTAATAAAAATCGACATAGAAGCGAACAGGCGTCAGACAGACGGAAACAATAGACCTATTTTTTCGACGCGGGGGGTGATGAAATGTCAAGAAAACATAAGAGTAACCAGTCGCCCGATTGATTCGATTATAATACTTCCTTAGCTTACACTTGGTAAGTAAAAATCGTAAAATTGAATTTTATAACTTTTCGAAGAAGCTGTATTTGTTCGGCTGTAGTTCAGAGGGAAGGAAGTTCTGTCTAAACAACTTTAAATCAATTGTTTCAGTACATTCTAAACAAAGTAGAAAACTAAAACACAAAGGAATATCTATAATTTTCGTTTTACTTTTAACCTTGAAACTGAAGTATCATTTTCGAATATTTTCTATTTTTAGATTGTATTAAATGTCATATTGAAGTGAATTCTGTATTAAAAATACCTACTAAGAGCCATCTGAAGTGTTTAATCAGGCTTTGAAATAAAAATTAAACCATTTTACTGATAAGCTGATAAAACAAAAATATGCCTCCTTCAAATGGGTATAAATTGCTTCGACACCCGTCACTTTGCTATTAAACAACAATGTTGCTAATTACATTTATTGTTTTTACAGCTATTGCTGCTTTGGCTCAAGTAAGATTTTTTTATAATTGTAATTTTTTATTTTATTTTTGATATTTCAGGGAGATACTTTGAGTGTATCAGTGTATTACGAGTCTCTTTGCCCCGATAGTAAACAATTCATTACCACTCAACTCTATCCAGCTTATGAACAAATTTCCAACTATTTGAACGTACAATTTTTTCCTTATGGAAATGCTGACGTAATTATTTTTGCAAAAAATAACATACCTGTCTAAAACAACAGCGTTCTTTCATTTGTAGATTACCACCTCAGAAGACGGAACTTTAAATTTCACCTGTCAACACGGTCCCAATGAATGTTACGGCAATGAAATTCAAGCTTGTGCCATCTCAATAGATCCTCAAAATTCTATTCAATTTGTTGATTGCGCTATGGCCAGTGATGACGCAAGTAACGATGAAAATTTGCAACAAGTATGTATTTTTTTTAAATGTATTACGGTTATCCGTGTAATTTTATATATTTATTTTTATTTTAGTGCGCCGAATCTAGTGCAATCTCTTGGGACTCTATTAAGGAATGCATCAGCAGTGGTTTAGGAGATCAGCTTTTTGTACACTACGGGGAACTTACAGATTCGGCACACATAAATTTTGTGCCAACAATATTTTTCAATGGTGTTTTCAATGAAACCCTTCAAAATTTAGGACAGTTCGATTTCCTACCAACCGCTTGTTTGTTATTGAATGAAGAACCCAGCGCTTGCTCTTCAACAGAATAAATAATTTGTAGTTTATAGTTCATTTTTGTTCAACGAGAATGTATTTTATTTGCTTCAAATAAAATGGAGACTATATATTTAGTTGCAGTGTTTGCTTATATGAATTATCAAAAATTTTACGATAATCAGAATCACCCATTCATAGTAGGCATCTTACAGCTAAATTAAACACACTAATATCCTATTACTTCGTTGAACAGTTGTTTGACTGCGTAGTCGTACATCGACTGTTGCAATAAACGCACTGTTAAAACATGAAAAATTTAATTTTTACTGTGTTAAGTGTGGGTGTTTTTTTAATATTAACGGTAAGAATAAATACTGAAAGAGCAAAATTACCTTAATTTGTTATTAGTGTTTACATAACTATTAAATTTGTGAATTTTTGTAAGTTAATTATTTCACCATAAAGTCTTTTTTATTTGTATCGGTTATGTATGTTTCTTGTCTGATAAAATCGTCACTTTTTTTTTTGACTTTGGGGCCAATTTGTAGTTACCAGTTTTTCTCGATGAAGTTCGCATTTATATATAACTTTAACTTCTCATCATTTTTTCCGTTTATTTACTTTCCTTGCTAATTTCGGCATATGTATGTACATTTGTGTAGTATATTTCCATCATTTTTGCTTTGCTGTTTTTTCTGTATCGTTATTTTAGTTCTTTTATAAAAAATAAGAGTGATGCCAGTTAGTAAATGAGGAGATTTTGACTAGTGGTTAAAAAGGTCATAATACATCCTGTTTTTCAAAAATATGTCCACAAGAATAAATTTTTGCAGTTTCATTTTTCTCGTTTTATTGTTTTTAAATAGCTGTTTATAGTATAAGTAAATAAAGATGACTTCAATTTTTTTTTGTTCACGTGTATCATACATTATTTTTTTCCAGTTTATCAGAATTTTCAAAAAAATTATTGCGAATTTTAAATTTTTTTACTTTATTCGTGTTGTCAATAGCAGTGTGAATAAGTGTTGTCGTAAACATTTTATTCATCCTTTCGATTAAACTGTACTGTTTTAATAATGAGATTAAAAATGTAAAATGAGCATTTTGTGAATAGGAATTGGAAATAATACTTTATTAAACATTCTAATTATAAGAAACGTTATAATTCTAACAAAACATGTGGCAAAATTGAAAAAAATTGAAAAAAAAAGTTAATTTTTTACTAGTTCTAAGCCAGTAAAACGTTGACCCGATATCCGTACAAAAGAAAACACTTACTTCGCGGAAGTTTAACGTACGAAAGTTTATAAACAAATTTGGTTAAGTGTCTACTGATAAATAAAATGGGTTTTATTTAATCAGCACTATCATAATCTGTTTCACAGAATTTTATGTTTATAAAGTAGGTTATTAACTTACACACATTGTAGCTATTCGTAGTTGTTTACACTAGCTTGATAAAATTATGATAATATATTAATAATTATTATATTACAGAGCATTTGATTTGATACAAGCATCTAGCTTTTCACAAAGTGTCAATTTTAATAGAGTTTTAGTTTTCTTTTATACGTTATAGTTCATATTTTGTCATTTTTAGTGTTTTTTACATTCCATTAATAACGTAATTTGAAGTGACTTCAAATATATCTTTCTAACAGACACACAGTAATGTATGTACAGGCAACAAAATTTATTTTGGAATAGGTAATGTAATTTTTTACAGTTGCCTTGAAGTGCATTTTAGCTTGAGTAATTAAAAAAAAAAAAATGGTCAAAAGTTGTTTTCACAGAACTTCCCTCGCTCTTGAAGTACAGTGAAACATATCCAGCATTTGTGAAAAATTATAAAATTAATTTTTTGATTTTGCGAATTTTATTTTTTTATGGGGACCTCTATAAATTGAAATAAACATATGTAAATATGTAATGTTAAAGTACATGTAAAGTAGCGTGCTACGCGTATGTTTCAAATGAGTTTTTAGTTTACAAAATTTTGTGATGACGTCATCAACATTTTTGTAAAGACATGTACATGTATCAACTTGGATTGGTGCAGTGTAATACTAATAATAAGAGTATTGTATTCCCAAATCTTCGGGAAAAGGGAGTGATCCGTTCTTGATTTTAATTTTAATCAATACAATAAATAAAATAAATCGATTCATTGATGAAGTTTTCTGAGACACCTTCATAAGCAAATCTGAAAAATATTAATGCAGTTTGCAAGATTTCAAAGCATTGAGTTTTGCAGTTCCTCATTTATTCAATAAAATAAATTGACTCTTTCATTAATTTTTGTTGAGTCAATTTATATAAGTAATTCTAAAAACTATGAGTGCGTTGATAAACGATAAGTATGCAGTCATAATATTTTGCAAATTTCAGACAGGATTTATTCGGGAAAATTTTTAGGTGGGATAAACAAATATATTTTGATTAAAAATTTACCGTGCTTATGATAACTTTGAAACATCTGCAAGATTTCAAAGCATTCACTTTTGCAGATTCAAAATGAAATTGCAGTTACATATAATTTTGATTTTTTTTACAGAAGTTTCGGGTAAAAACACGGATTCATAAACTATACGTGTAGAACTATGTTATTTTATACAATTTAAGACCTATTTACTATATACAATTTTGAGGTGAAGGCATCACATTATTGGTGGGGATGATTAGACAAAGTTTAATTAGTGTTTTACCATCTATATGATATTTATAATAAACATATAAAATTTGACAAAAATTACCTGTCTAACAAAAATCGTGACGGACGGTAGACAGATAGACATCAGACAGATGGAAACTCTAGCAGTCATGACCCATCGAGAAAATATGAAAGCAATACAATACTTCCTTAACTTACGCTCAGGAAATAAAAACTAATATTTTTTATTTTTAATGGAAATGATTTTTGTTTTTTTTTTCTTCTGCTTCCGGTGCCTACCAAATTGTTACAAATTAAACTGCTTAATCTATGAAAAACTGCTACCCAGCTGAATATCCCAAGTTTGTAAAATTTTCAACTTTTCATTGTTCGTTGTAGTTTGCAGGAATTACCTGCTAAAATCCGCAAAGTCAAATTTTATCATTTTTCGAAACTGCTGTTTATGTTTCATTATAGGTACTTCAGGAGCGAGGGAAGTTCTGTCGAAACAACTTTTCACCAATTTTTTCTGCATTGAATTTTGGTGCAAAATGTAGATTTTTCTGTTTCTATAAAGTTTTTGTCAATTAATTTAGAAGGTCATTTATTTTATTACGCAAAAAGTGGCAGCTCGGCTATCTGACCGAATACGGTGATCATTAATTCTGGTCTAAGGCCAGAGCACCCTATTGTAAACTTTGCATAAATTTTGGCTGTCTCTTTTTAAGTTTCAATTTTAAAATCCATGCAAATAAAAACAACCGTGAAACTAAATGGGTCAGAAACTAGACGTGTAATAAGCAACGCGTGGAATTGTACCTCATACGCTAGAACCAGTGCTGTCCCGGCGATAGTTTGATTACAAATATATTTTTCTTTTGGACTATTTCAACATAATATAATGTTTCAAGATCACAAATCTGTGGTCCTGTGGTTGAAAAATTAAAAAGGGCATCGAGTATTATTATTTGAAGTAATATAGTAATACAGGGTGTCCCAGAATTCGCGCCATTCCCGTGAATGACATGTTCCCTGTCCCGAACTGTGCCGTGATTCGCAAAAAGAATTGTCCAGGCTTTAACCGTGTGAGAACTGGAAGGCGATTAAGTTGACCAATAGAGAGGCTGCTTTTATATCCGAACGTTTCTATGTTCAAAGTTACCTATGCCAAGAACAAAAAATCGGGTAATACTAAAGTTGAATGAATTTTTTCCGAATCCCCCTCCGTCAACAAAAGGAAACAGAAGTGTGGTTATAAATTTAATCATTTTGACAATTGTTTGTCATAAACTGTCACGAAGTTCATCACTGACCTGAAGAGATGCTTCTGCGCCAAAGATGACTGATTAATATACACAGAGACGTCAAGGTTTACTTTAAGGCAAGTAGCATGGGACAGAAGTTATTTCTGCTGCCATTCTAGTTAAATTGTGTTTAACTGGGCTGTACATGTCATAAGAGAAGCTGTTTCATTTCATCGTAGGCAAGTAATACATTTGTTACTATTCTACATAGTGTAGATACCGAAGAGCAGGTATTAGAAGTCATTTTCTTAGAGCCCCGTGAATAATGTGTTGTTCTTTTTAACGAAAATTAGTACATTTTCAGAATTCACTATGCATCATATGCCTGATATTAAGTTTATCGTTATTTCTAAAAAAGAGTACCACATGTCCATTCAAAGAACGTTATTAAGTGTACTAAAACATAAATATCGCTTTTGATTAATCGGTGCTTATGATTTTCAATAAACAGTATCAATTTTTACTGAACAGCTTTGTTGCTGATACCTAATCTAAGCAACGAAAAAAGAGACGAGATTCCACTTCTCTGGTGTATTAAGATCATAGGTATGTGCTGTGGTGTCAATCATGTGGGGGAGATACTGAAAACTGAGACTTATTCAAGAATAATATTGATGTTGCACATGATGATTCAAAACAGTTTCTTTAAAGTTGTGAGTACTTTCTAGAGATTGAAAAGATACGAATAAAAATTATAACAAAAATCGTTTAGTTGCAATTTTTGTTAAGAACAATACAAACTATAAACAAATCAGTACCAATACCACTAAGTTATTGATGTCTTATTCATACTAGTATAAAGAATATTTGGAAATGATGTTAATTTATGGAGAATGTAAGGCGATCAGGTAACACAAACGGCCCCACTTAAAAAAACAGGAACGGAGTTTAGTGATAATTTTATCAGATGCATTAAAATTTTTACCACAGTAGTACCATTGATATATTCCAGCCCATAGATTAATAGTAAATCGCTCCTGATATGCTCTCACCCTAGTGAGATGTGGATTTGCGTGTGCCCAGAAATGCCAATTGTGTGCATTAAACATTCCTTCTCGGGAAAATGAACATTCGTCGGTGAAAAGAATGCGCAGTGTAAAATCAGGGTTTAGTTCATTTTGTCGCAGTAACCATTGAGCAAAATGTACTCGTCGCGGGTAGTCGGTTGGTCGCAGATGCTGCACTCTCGTGTAATGGTAAGGATGCAGTCTTCTCTCTTGAAGAATACGATGAGTGGTCGATCTTGAGCATCCACTCATTTGCGCTACGTAGAGGACACTTCTCCTAGGATCCGCTTCCATGTTTTCTAACACTTGCTCTTCAGCACCTACACGTACATTCCGTAGAGCCCCAGCACGGCCTTTCCGACTAGGTTGAAAAGATCCATCTTCTCTTGCTCGATGTAAC